CGCAGCTGTCCCAGTGCGGCGGGCCACGGGGCACAGGACGGCAGCGGGCTCCGGCAGCCGGCCCATTCAGCCATGGTGCCTTACTCCGAAGGGAAAATATACGCAGCTTTCTGCTTTTCGTGTAAGTTTCACTTTGACAAGAAAACTTTTCTTTCAGGTTCTGATTTTATTTTTAACTTATTTTATTTTTCAATTACATTTGACATTCAGTATTATATTAGTTTTATATGTATGGCATAGTGGTTAGACATTTATGTAACTTACTAAGCACCCCCCGCCCCAGTGTAAAATCTACCTGGCACCATACATAGTAATTGCAATATTATTGACTATATTCTCTGTGCTATACTTTACTTCATGTAACTTTTTTGTAACTACCAATTTGTACTTCTTAATTTCTACACTTTTTCACCCAGTCCCCTAACCTCTCCCATCTGATAACCATCAGTTTGTTCTCTTTGAGTTTGTTTCTGTTTTTAGACAATCTATTTTTTAAAGAAACCTCACAACCATATACAAATTGCCCAGCGTTCTAATTGGCTTAAAAGTTCTACATAAGCTTCACCCGTGCACATTGAGTCAATGCTGAAGGTTTTGGTTTTATTTGACTTCTTGTTCAAAGCTAATTTGGGGAAAAATAATTTGAGTTGGCAGATGTGAGTTAGTTTTCGGTATTATATTAGTTATGACCTCGCCAGTTTTTCGTGGCAGTAAACTTTTTTTTAAAAAGGGGTCATTAAAATATGTTTTAACACTAAATAATGTGTTGGTTATAAGTGGAGTTAAGCAACTCTATCTCATTTAAATCAGAAAATAGATGAGCCAGTATGGAATAATTCCTTAACTCCTTTTAAAGCATAGTAAATGTTTTATGTCCAGCTGTATGGAACTTGTGTGAACCATGTTTATACTGTTGAGTCATTTGCTCCTCATGGTATTTTTTATTTTTTCATTTAACAGAATAGTATCTGCTGATAAATCTTGTCTTTAAATAATCACCCACCCCCAGAACAAACATCTTTTCCTGCACATTTCTTTTAGTTAAAAAAAAAAACAAACGACAAAAAAGAAAAAACCTCTTTGAAAGGCTTGCCTTCGAGTCTCTATTTCCCCTCCTGTTTCCTCTCTGTTTTCTCGCATCTCATTCTATCCTATTTCTCCTCATTTGACCCTCTCAACTCAGGCTTTTTGTCTCCATCACTATCTCTTCCTCACCCTTCGCTTGTGAAATCCAGTGTCTGCATAGTTTTCACCTCAAATGACAGTTAACTGCTCCCTCTTCTATGATATTTTTTCTTCATTTGGCTTCCAGGTCACCACATTGTCCTGTATTTCTTTCTACTTCACTGGTCACTATGTGGCTTCACTTCTTTGGAACCTCTAAATGTTAGAGTACCATAGGACTCAGTTCTTGACTATATTCTCTTTCTAGCCATACTTTCTCCCAAGGCAATTTCTATCCCAAGCCATATTCCGTGGCAGTAAATAACATCTATAAGCTGATAACTGCCAAAGTTTTATCTCTAGCTTTAGTTTACTTCCCCTGAGCTCCAGATGCACACGTTCAGCTATTTACTCACCACTCTATTTGGAAGTCAAATAGGCATTTAAATTTAGTATGTCCAGACAGATACCACACCCACCCAATCCTCCCTCTGCTTTCCCCTCAGTTACCTTATCTCAGTAACTCTTACTGCCATTCAACTAGGCTGAAACTCTAGGAATCATTCTTCATGAGTCTTTTTAGCTCAGACCCCACATCCAAGCATCCAGCAAATTCTGTTGACTCTGCCTTGAGGAGATCTCAAATCTGACCACATCTCACTCCCTCTGTAATGCAAACCACAATCACTCACCTAGATGACTTTGAAGTCTCTAATTTGGTCTCCCTGCTTCTGCCTTTGTTCCTCTACAATCTTTCTACAAATAGCAGTGATTTTTTTCAAATATAATCATAGCTTTCGTTTCCCTTCCAAACCTTTTGGTGGCTTATCAGAATCATAAAAAGCAAACTCTTAGAATGGCTTCGAAGCCCTATTTTATCTAACCCCTGACTACTTCTCTGATCTCATCTCCTACTTTCTCTTTTGCTTACTACACTGTGGTGATACTGATCTGGTTACTGTTTCCTTTGCCTGCAGTGAGTCTCTGCTAGACCACACAGGTTATATACCTTCAGTACCCTCACTCACTTCCCTGTTCAATGCTGTATCCCAGGGGTTACTGCCATTGTCCTGTTGTAACATTCTTTTATAACTGACCTTCAGGTGGGTTGCAGTTAGGTGCTGGATGCTATTCTCTAGTAGTCCATGAAGGTTGTGGTACCTTCAGAACATTGTTGTCTGCTAGGACTCTTTAATATTATAATGCACAACCATCTTTTTCTTGAGCCTCATTTTGATAAGATGTACAATTTGCCTTTAAATTCTGTTTTGTTTTTTTTTTAATGTTCTTCCTGGTTTAGAGAATATTTTCCCATTAATGCCAGTTCTCATTTTTAAATATAGAAAATGAAAGAAAAATATATTTTCTGAAAAGACTATGCAGTAATTATTTTGGGCAATTTCTTTGCTTCAATGGGAAGCAGTGGTCTGTGATTTGGAGACTTTTTGAATGGTATCAGTAACAGGTAGTTTCAGAGGGAAGAAGAAAAATTAGCTTGTTCAGAGAATATTATACAAGTTTTTAAGTGTGGTAGCTAAGCAAATATCAGAATATCAAGATTTTACAGGAAAATTTAGTACTCTTTAAAATATGTGGAAATGGAAATTAAAAACAGCATTTTCAGTTTTAGGAAAAGCTGTTGGGGAATAAAAGACTTTACTTTATAATACTTATTTCTCATTTTAATCCCAAGGAACTAGTTCTGTGATGTTAGCAGTAACACATGTATTACCTTTCTCTTTTAGAAGAAATTTTTTTTCTTATTTCAGAATTAGGATGCTTGAATAAATATATACAATAGAAGATTAAATAAAATTTTAAAAATAAGTGGATTTGGAATATAGATCAAAGAAAAGATAAGAGTAGAAGGGTTAAGGGGAACCCAAGAGTGAAGTTAGAATTAAAAACTGTCACAAGCTTTTGTATGTGGGCTAGAGAGCACTTACCAACCTGGAGCTTCCTAGCCTCTGAGTCAAGAGGCAGGCTCCACAGATGAAAAAGCAGGTACTGAGGAAGGCCCTTTTGTTTATCTTCGCTTTTCTACTTGATAGAAGCGCGCGCACGCGAGAGAGGAGAGAGTTCAAGTCATTTAATGTTTACCTTCTCAAGGATCTATTTTAGGTACTATGGAGATGATTCTGCTCTCTAGTACTTGTAATTAGTAGAATATTGTAGGATTCTTGTTTGGTTTAGAGTTAGCAAACCCAGACTCTTGGAAAATTTGGATATAGGTAGGAAACAGGAGGTCAGTTAAAGATGAGCCAAACTCATCTGAAATATGCAGATATGGCACATAAGGAATATACTATCTGGGCACCAAATTGACATAACCTCTGTTTAAAAGCGCAAAACCTAGAAAACAATTTTTTGTTGACTAAAAAAGCATTTTTTCAGATTACATTCTCATTGTAGAAAATGGATCTATACAGATAGACATATAGACATATGTACATCTACATATCTACCAAACACAGATAACCAGTGTTACCTTTTTGATGTACTTCTTTCCAATCTATTTTCTCTAGTTTGTTTTACAAAGCTGAGATCATACTATATATGCTATTTTATATTCTTTTTTTTCACTTATTATTTTTACACTTTTTTTTTTACTTTTTATGGAAGCATTTTCTCATGTCATTAAAATTATTCATAACATTCATAAACACTTTTAACGATTTAATAGGATTCAATCATATGAATATGTTGTTGCCATTCCTCAGTTTTTGGACATTTTGATTGTTTACATCCAACAGAATTTGGGGTAGTGCATGATACTGTGTACAAGTTCTCTGATGACAAGAAAATTCAGTCATATAATTCATACTTCAAAATTGCAATAAAATGTCTCCATAGATCCTGTGACAGGAGAAAGCTGAGCAAATCTAAGAAACTGAAAAAAAGACCCATGTATAGAGAGCAGGAGGAACGAAGAGGAGAGAGGCAGGAGATGAGGTTGGAGCTGAAGGAGCCAGATCATTTAGGATAGCATTTGCCATATTAAGAAATTTTGATTCTAAGTGCAATAAGAAGCCATTGCAGAATTGTAAATGAGAGTAATTTGATCAGATGTATGTGTTTAAAAAGATCGAGGTAGTTGCTGAGTGGAGAATGGATTAGAATGTCCAAGAGTGGACAAAGGAGACTAATTAGGAAGTGCAGTAGAAAATGTGGTGGAGAGGGAAAGTGGAACAATTTGATATGTATTTTGGAGGTTGACTAGACAGGACTTGGTGGCAGCTGGAAATGAAAGTGTAAGAGAGAAAAGGAAAAATGTCAGTGAAGCTTCAGGTTTCTGGCCGTTATAACTGGGCAAATGATAGTTCTATTTACCTAGATGGAGTATTCTGGGAAAATGAGGTGAAAGCTATCTTCTAGGCCAGCAAGAAGACAAATTAAGAGTGCTTATGGTGTAAGCACTTTTGCTGCTAATGGTTTAATTTCTTGTTCTGTGCGATATATAATCTAAGAGATATGAACAGGATGTTATAGGTGTGCAGGAGAGGAGTACTTAACCTGTCTGCCAGATGTGATCTTTGAGCTGTGTCTTAATAGGAATGTACCATATTTATATTCATGTAATATTTTAAAATGCCACATAATTACTCATTTAAAAAATCCAATGAGATATATTTGAACTGGCTAGTCCTTGTAGATTGAGTCAATAATATATATAATATAGATAATAAAGAGCTATCTGTTTGACTATCTCTCTAAACTTAAAAACTTATTAGTCTTATATTTGGAATTGTCTCATTCATTCATTCAAATGGTATTTTTTTTATTAGTTTCAAGTATACAGTACATTGGTTACACATTTATATAATTTATGAAATGATCCCCCTAATTAATCTTTCTCTCCTCTGGCTCTACGCCTAGCCATTACATTACTGCTGGCTACATGCCGTGCTCCTCATCCCGCTGACCATCTATCAACTTCTGATTTGTACTTCTCAAATG